ATACTGTTATTGTTAAAGAAAACTGTGGAGTTAATCCCTCTGCAGCACACTGAAAATAACCCTTTAATTTCATTCTAATGTTATTTCTTCAGAATTCACAGGAAATTTGAGACTGTTGTGTTTGGAGATTTAATGTAAGGCAATTACAGCCAAAGTATATCTGGGGAGAGTCCTAGCAGAGTGACTGCATTTCTGCTTTGAGTGGATGCTTAACTGTTGATGTGTAAGACATTTAGTATGCTCCTAAAATTTTATACCCCCTTCCAGATGACAGAATATATGGCCAAGAAGCAGCCTAACACAGTGAGAACGGAGAGCCGGACAGCAAAAAATCATAAAGCTGACTATTCTCTGGTCACCATTTTGTGGGGTCTGGTACCCTGTTTTGCATCCTCTTTACACCGTACTGTTCAGATCCAGGCTGCCCCGTAGGAAGACAATTACAGAGGATACTCTGGAGATCCTAGAGGTAGCACTTTTGCAGCTCTGCAGTGTGGCTGTGGTGTTTTAGAATCCTTTGGGACAACCCAGACTTTAAAATGGGTGCAAACAGAGGAGGTGCAGTTTTACTAAAAATGAAAAGCAGCTCCAAGCTCTCTGCCTGCTGTATGTGTTAATTTTTAACATATGAAGCATTTTTAAGAACTGAGCATTTCATTTAAGGAAATAAATTTATGGACTGCAAATGAGCAAGGTGGGGAAGGCTTCTGCAGAAAAGAAAATGCAAAGTAGCCTACAGAATGGCAGGGTACCACTAATCTGCACATATAAATTGTGGCTGATATTATATGTGTGACAAACAGCAGATAATCTGCAAGGAAACCAGTGAAATACCAACATACAAATGGCAAAGGCCTAGTGGGACTTCAGGAAGAAACAAATGGTTTTCAGATTTGTAAGAGATGCATATATCACGCTGACCTGTAGTGACTTCTGTATGACAGTAGTCATCAATATATCAGAATATTTTTTATGATTATTTAGTAATAATATATTACTGATAAGTAATTCCATTTTATGCAAGGCTTGAGTGATACACACTTTTTTCTACAACTGGCAGGAATATCACACACTAGGAAGCATTACAATTCCCAAAATATTAACACTATATTTATTACATGCACACATGTATATGAGTTTTAGAAATGTCATAACATATTTATATTTGTTACCTGGCAATATTAGTTCTCAATTAAAAGCGTAATATTAAGATCTATTTTTTCAGGCATGTGTTAGGCCTTATAAAATAATAACTTTCTGATGAAATAAAGAGTGTATGATAGTTTTTTATCTTTGTGCTAAATATAAGCATGCAATATATGCATGATTATATTTTTTGTATGGTTATTCTATTCTTATCTTTGCTAGTCTATAACTGATTTTTCTTTGTTTATTTTTCAGCATAATGTCATGTCTTAGGAATTGCAGTGAAGTATGAATTTTCCTCGTTTTCTCCAGTTAGCTACTCCGCATTGCTCTGTCGATAGAGGAGGCTGTCAAATCCAAGATTAATAAATGAAACCCTGTGTCCAATGCTGCAGGTTATTTTTAATTCAATGTAGAAGGAATTACATTTCTTCCCATTATATTTTCAGCCAGAATGTGCCCTCTAGAAAACCAGCATTCTGATCAAAAACATTTTGCAGTTCAGAGCCGTAACTTGTACAGCCTCTTCCAGCAGCGTAGCCTGTGTGCCAGCTCACACCCTGGTTGATATTGGGAAAGAATGGCCCCTGCTGAGCTGTTCACTTTCTAATGATGCCCACATTAAGCACCTCTGAGTGATGGTATCCGGAGAAAAATGAAGAACTTAATCTTTATGTGCTGCTCTGCTGATTTGCACTAAACTCCAGGTCTTAATAATAGAGTAGGTAGACCTAATGCTATTTTTTTAGAGAGGAGGTGCACAAAATTTCTTCTTTTCACCTCTTTACTTCCATAATGGTGGAAAAGGTGGTCAGGATGGTGCAAAAGTGTGTCGCTGCAGTTGCAGATGCCTTGGCAACTCCTGGGTGCCACCTATTTATAACAATTAACAGTTCTGCTGGAAAAGCATGAATCAAAAATATGCCTCGTAACTCATCAAAAAAGACAGATTTAAAGACAATTCCCCTGAAGCTCAGATTATATATCCTTGCAAAAATAGATGCCTATTCTGCTAGTAATAGTGCAGACCATATGCTCATACATTTTATGCAGCTACTGCAGAGACCAGGATACCTCTGAAGGAAAGGTGGATAGCTCTCCTTGCAAAGAGCAACTCATGCAGCCTAAACCAATGGCCAATTCCTGCCTATTGACTGTGCAGGTAGCCTAAGTATCACCCTAAGTGATTCAGTGCATGCACACACTGGTAGGAAATAGCATAAAGGAAGGCAAAGCAGTAGACTTATGAAGATATGTCCAAACAGACTGTTTAATTCAGGGCTTCTGAATGCTTATCCATCCCTGGAAAGTATTCTGAGTTCACATATACCAGGTGAACATACCTTAGATTTGGGAGATATGGACAGCGAGCCCCCTCAACTTGAGTGCGTGCCCCCACCCACCAGGCTGTAAAATATGCTGAACATGAGCCCATGCTGTCCTGCCTGCTGAAGTCGGGCTGCCAGGTAGGCACCAACACGTGAACTGGGGGTTCAGGTGAGAGATGGGGAGCCTAACTCCAGCCCTGCAGCTGGGACGCTCTGCTCTGGCAGCTGCACTGTGGTTCCCCGCTCCCTGGGTTACTTCTGTTTTTAACCAGCGAAGGCACAGACCCCGGGAGAGAAGCAAAGGCACTAAGCGCACAATCTCTTCCAGCTGCACACCCAGACACACGTCCATCCACGACACTTTCAGGCCTCTCTGGATAGCAAGGCAGCTGTCTCCCCAGGCACCCCACAGCAGCAAGGGTGCCTCAGGGTGCCCATCCCACTCTGGACCATGGCAGCCCCTGCAGGAGCCAGGAGCTTTAGTGCCTGGAGCTGTCTGTGTTCCCAAATCAGGGCTCTTACCAGTCTCTACTGGTTTGGGGCATGTGTTTTCCACACCGTGCTCTTACCCACAGGCTATATGGGTTTGCCTGGAGATTCAGTTTAGCTGATCTGACTATGGGCACACATTTTGGTCTTGGTAAGGGTCCTGACTTCCTAAATTGGAGTATAATCCTTACCAGGGTTGATAACAAGGATTAGACAGGACAAGGTTTCAGCTTTAAACCATTACAGCAACAGCCAAATACCTGTGATTCACAAACTGACCTCTAATATTCAGGCTAGTTATGTATTTCAGGAATCCAAGACAGCAAATTCAAGATTCTGGCTTGATTATTGTAAAAATGTGATTGACCAGCAATTTCAAATGGATCTGTATCATCTAGATTCTTCCTTAAGATCTGGGAGTATGTCAGAGTAGGAGTCTACATATGACTGACTTTAGTCATGTATAACATTACAAATTATTACCACTAATCTCAGTAACAACACTAATTATCTACTCTAATGCACTTTATGGAATTTACACTGACAAAAACTGTGATGAGTTATCTTACAGAAAAGCCACTACAAATATTTAGAGGTAATTTTAGGAAACAGGTGAAACTAGTTTTGAATCAATACTCCATTTGTGGTTATATCTGTGCATTTGCTTAGCACAAAAAAAAAAAAACCAAAAAAAACCCCCCTTACTGAAATTCATTGTGAATAAGTTTTGAATAAGCAGGCTTATAAGAAGACTTCCCCTAATTCTTTGTAACTTCAGTTCACCATTTATTTCTACGTATCTCAAATCTTTGACTATTCACTGGAAATTCTGATTTGACTTCAGCACAATTTCCATCCTTACCACTGAAAAGTGTAGGTGTGATAAGCTGTCAAACCACCTTGCCCTGCTTACAGTGCTCATCACATCATTAGCACAGCAAATGTGAACAGTAACCACAGTGTCCATGGCTGAGGTTTTTCTAAACAACTGGTGTGGGGAGATGAGATTAGTAGGCAGGTGTTTGTGACAGAGAGATGTGAAGCACAGTCTTCACTGGTACATCACCATCAATTGTGAGCAACTGACTCTTCCTGGACCTCTGCCTTTCAGCAACACCAAAGGAAAACTGTTTTGACAGTCAGTCATTTTAAACAGGAAAGCACTTGTTTGGACAGTTTCCTTGAAAAAAAATATCTTCATTGTGCTTTTTCAGATGGAAGAAATCCCATAGAGTGGGATACAGCCCCTGTGCTTGGAAGAGCTACCAGTCAATATTCACAAATCCACTGCATTACTCTTTCAGCTTAATCAATACAATTCTCCTTCACAGCGACATTCATTAAAAAAGTCCTGAGACAACAATTAATGCACTGATATACTGTGGCTACTGCCTGTTGAGCTGAGTAATTTCTTTTCCTGTTCCTCTCTGCTCCCCAGCTTGCCTCCATACATATGCTGTTTCTTCAGCGTGAGCTCTTCTTAAATCCAACTCCACGGCTATGCTTTTTGGCACTGTGTTTACACTAAATATAAAAGTGAAGATCAATAGTTCCTCTGCCATTACAAGAACTTACTTCCTATGCATCTCTGGCTATATTTGAAGGCAACTGCCCACATTACTGTATTTTGACAACTTCCATTGAGTGTTAGATCACATAATCCACACCCTTAGATGGATCAATGGCGCTGCCTCAGACTACAGCAAACTCACATTTTGCTAACTTTAATATATGCTCTTTCACCTAGCATGCAACGCAAGTTCACATCCAAAATGATCTATAGCCAGAGGAAACACAGAAAGGTATTACACAAGCTCATAAGAAGACCATTGGAGACCCTCCATAACACCTGAAGGGGGCTGGCAGGTGTGACCCACAATGTACGGAAGACTTGTAGGCTTCTGAGACAGCAGCTGGTGGCCAGGTGGGAAATCTTGGGACATCTAAAATGGTGCTAGATTCACAGGTTTAGACAACTGACCTATACCCATCACAAGAAGAAGCATACTTGAGCCACGGTAACACTGTCCTTATTACCTTGACCCGTTAACCTGGTTTGGGTTACACTCCATCTTGATGGTGACTCTCGCCGGGGGCTGTGATAACCAGTCTTGCTGGGGAACACGCGGACTCATCTTTGACGTCTGCCCATATTCACTGGAGGAGGAGGCCGTCATCTCTGTCTTCGCAAGGTGGGGCGATCCGTAGGCGCACTCGAACAAGGACTGGTCTTCACTCACCACTGATAATGCTTCCTGCAGCCAGAGAACAGAAGTCAGCATGACCAAGTTTCAGAGCAGACATTACAATATCCGCCAAGGAAAAAAGGGCTTGTCCATCTCATGAGAAGACAAACAGCCAGTCACTTGCTTAAATACTCATTACTAGTTAGGCACATGAGTGCTGTCAGTCGAGGTGAGGACTCAGGGTGCCAGACACACCATCAACATATGGCAGGAGGACAGTCTCTCTCCTGGGTAGACCTTTCCCACCAGCAGCTGAGAAGATGCACAGACACACGCTACCAAACACTTAAGAATAGTGGCCGGGAACTGGGAGGGAGGAGAGGGCAGGACAGACATTGAAGCTCAGGCCTCTGGTGTCCCAGGTAGTGATGCAGACGGCCAGATCTACCAGGGTTGTAAGCAAGCTGCCATTGCTGCTTTAATTGACCCTGCAAGAACCGACTGTTAGCCATGCCCTGCTGACTGACTGGGAGCTCCTCTTCCTTCCTCTGGGACTGAGGCCAAGTGCCTTCTGGACAGGGAGTCAAGACACAACTCCACACAACCTCTGATCCAGGGACCCTACTCTTTCTGCCAACATCTGCGGCTGGCTTCAGCAGAGGTGCCCACCACCAGCCCTGAGAGGACATCATGCCCACCAGCCACCTCCCACTCTCTAACAACAACCCTTCCTGGTGGGCTGGCCAGCCGGGCATCCCACTCCTTCAGCGCTGGGGAAGGGCTTCCCCGGCCACCCTCCTTCACTGTGGTTACAGCCCTGGAGTGCGGCAGGGTTCACCAGGCCCCTTGGTGTCAGGGTGGCTGCCATTGCAGCTGGCTGGAGACTGGACAGACGCAGAGAGGGAGCAAAGGCCACTCTCTCTCCCCACCGCCACATGTTGGCACCAGCTCCTTCCTCACGTTATCTGGAGCCAAGTCATGGGAGCGAGGAAGCACCCAGGCCTGGCTCAGGCAGGCAGTGTGCCTGCGGGGCTCATTGGGAAGCCGTGCAAGGGGCTGATGCTGCTGGAGGGACCCATCCTGCCTGAGCCGAGGCTCCCTGGCCACGGGCCTGGTCCGGGCTCCTGCCTTCCCACCGGCCTCCAGCACTGCACAGGCTTGGGGGGGTCCACCCCTCCAAAAGCAGCCTTCCATGGAAAGCCCCCCTCTCCATGGGCTACTTAGGGTGAACACGGGGTTTACGGGTATAAATGGACAGTAAGCCAAAGCGGGAACAAAAGGGGAACAGCCTGGCACCTCCCTCCCTCCCATGTGG